TCATGGTAATTAGGATGGTGATATGTTTAATGACCTGGTAGTTAGAGTGTTGTTATGTTGTTATGCTCTGCTAGAATGGTACCCTGGTAGTTAGGGTGTTGTCATGCTATTATGATCTGATAGATCGGTATCCTGGTTAGGTATTCTTGTATGTTGTTATGATCTGTTAGATCGGTATCCTGGTAGATAGGATGTTGTATGCTATTATGATCTGTTAGATCGGTATTCTGGTTATGGTATGCTTGTATGCTGTTATGATATGTTAGATCGGTATCCTGGTAGATAGGATGTTGTATGCTATTATGATCTGTTAGATCGGTATCCTAGTTATAGGATGTTGCTATGATTGGTGATCTGTTAGATTGGTATGACTGTTACATATATGCAAGTGTATGATTTTATGTACACATGCTTGTTTGATTTGGGGTTGGGTTGAGGCGGTCCTGCTTTGTGCTGGAGGCCAACATACCCAGGGCGGTCCAGACAAACTGAAGGCCCTGCAAAGGGATTCAGTCAGACCGAAGGCCCGGCGAGCGGTCCGGATAGGCTGTAGGCCCTGCGAGGCGGTCCAGACATGCCGAAGGCTCGGAGAGCAGTCCACATAGAATGAAGGCCTGTGAGGCGGTCCAGTCAGGCTGACGACTCATTATGCATGTTGTTATGTATTGGTTATATGATATGGTTATGTTTGTATGACGTTGGTATTTTGGGGAAACTCACTAAGCTTCGGGCTTAAAGTTGTTGATTTTGTTTCAGGCACTTCTGATGATTGCGGGAAGGCGAAGGCGTGATCGTGCACCTCCTTATATTTTCAAGATTGATTCTGGGGATACTCTGATGTCTAAACTATTTTGAAAACAAACTATAATAACATAATGGTTTTAAAATGTATTAAAAGTTTAAATTTGGCTTGAATTTTATGGGTGTTACAAGTTGGTATCACAGCCTTGGTTTAAGTGAATTGGAAGAACATTCGTGTGAATCCAGTCTCAAATCAAGGAATGGTTTTCAAAATGATTTCTAAAATGGTTTTCAAAATAAGTAAAGGAGGATGCAGAGTGTACGATCAGCCGGAGCCAGTAAGTAGACCCCAAAATACCATACAGTTATTTGATTATGTGATATGTTAGAACAACATGCTAGTGCTAGGCTAGGGATCTTCAGGAATTGCATGATATTGCCTGATTACATGATGCCTGCTAGCCTAGGGTTTCCTTTATATGAGATTGACATCATTACTGTAGTTGCTTAGTGTGTGCATCACGGTTATACATAATTAAGATCTTATAGCCTGAGAATGTTTGATTTGGCCTTATGTTATGTTCTTGTTTGATTGGGGGCTTAAGGTAGGATCGGATATTCGAAAGTCTATCGGGTCCAGCGCTATGTATGGCTAGCATACACTAGTGCTGCAGGGTTGGTGGAAGTTTCATGGATGGGTGGGTTACGTGAGGCCGAGAGGCCATTTATAGGACATTTAGCATTCGTCTAGGAGTGAGGATTGTGCGCTCGCTATATTTATGTATATTGTTAGGGCGTTGTGATGATACTTGAGACAAATATGGGTAGGTGTGGAAGGTAGTATGGGCCCGTACTACTGAAAGCACAGGACCCATACGCGTAGCAAGGAAGTCACAACCCCTAGGGTTTGGTTGGGAGTAGGTTCCCTGTTATTGTATGGATTATCAGGGATCTCTCTGGTATATTATCAGAATGGTGGTTACGAGACGTCTTGAGACCGGATCTGGGTCAGGATCGGGAGCTGGCAGCCAGGATAGGCCAGCATTGTCAGAGGACCGTGTTAGTGAGATCATCCCGGAGGAGGTGATCGGGGTTGTCAGGGAACAGTTGTCGGACATGTTTAGGTCTATCAAGACCGTCATGGTTGAGTATTTCAACGAGCGCTATGTAGCCATTGCCGAGACGGTTGCCGCGGCAGTAATAGCAGCTGTAACGACGGCAAAGGGAAGGAACTGGTCGAGCTTACCAGTATCGGGACTTGTTATTGGGACGTATTCTGATGAGCAGAGAGCTGCAGTTACTTGGGATCAGGGAAATGTTTCGTACTCGTGGCACTCCGCGGATTGAGCGGGAGAGGTTGGTATATAAGTTTCCTGAATTGAGGCTTCGGGGAATTTGTCTGAGGCCGGGTTTCGAGTCGCAGGGACTCCGGAAAGGGAGTGATGATTCTGTTCTGCTGGGGTTATGCAGTTGAAAGTAGAATGGGTAATTGATAGGATTGGAATGTTGTTTTCTAGGGCAAGGAATGTGCCCTTTCAGTTTACGAGCTCGAAGGATTGAGCAGGCTTGTGACCCCAGGATCAGGTTGTATTCTAGCTCGAGGTCAGTTGGTCGTCGGGATTGGCGACAGTAGTTTAGCGCTGGTGAGCGCTGGTGGGTCGATGTGGCATGAGAATCTTGTGAGGTCCGGTTCGGATTGGATCTCTTGTATCGGAAGGGCAGAAGTTGTTTCATCTACTGCAGTTCATCTATGGATGATCGAGCTGGTGAGTGAGTCAGGGTGGGAGACCCTGAATGATATGATTTTTAGAGCCGATGGCGGGAAATTGTTTGGAGCACATTGGAAAGAAGGGAATTATGAGAGAGGTTTGCGGACAGGGTTCCCCATGGTGGGTATTCAACAATGTCAGAATCCAGCGGTTTAGTAACCGTTATTGATTGGCGGGTGAATGCGCCAAAGGAGTAGCTCATTGTTGAGATATTAGTTGGAGCGTCTATCTTTGGACTTCAAAATTGGGTGTTGGATCATTCGAGTATTAGGGACTGTTGGTTTCCCTGGGATTATGGAAATGTTCATCTAGCTGTTAGAAGAGTGTGATCATTTGGGAATGGCTAGTAATGGAACACTAGTTGGTTGTCATCGGATCGCTCATTGGAAAATGAGAAGAACTAGGAATTCTCCAATTTTCATGTGTTGTGAAAACTTAGTTGAATCTAAGTGGGGGAGAATTATCCCGAGATTCAGAAACATGAACGGTTTTAAAAATGGGATAAGTTTCGCATCGTTGTCAGGAGGGAAAAACAACCCAAATGGTTGTTTGGTTTGAAGGTTGTGTGAGATGGGAGTTCGGTAAAACTCACCAACATGGGAATCGCGTTTTCTCGGTGCTTGATAGCAGAATTTGGGGAATTAGGTTGGGATTCTAGCCATGAATTAAGCTCAGTTGGATGTTAGGACGAGTGTGTGTTCGACCAATATGGAAGGTGTTGTAAGACTACGGGGGTGGCCGTAGCATTCACTAGCAATCAGGTAGTATGGGAAGTGTTGTAAGACTGTGGGGGTAACCGCAACATTCACTAGGTTGGTAGATAGCATGAGCGCGTTGTTAGGACGCGGAAGGGGCAGTAGTACCACCACTTCGGATGTATAAGTAAGGATATGGAAATCCACAGATGGGTTTATGGGTTTTCCCAGAGGGATTAGACCTGATTAAGCCATTGATAAGACTGTAGGAACGTCACTACAGTTATAAGATCAAGGAAGCAATGAATTGCTTAAGATTGCTTATGATGTAAGGCTACCATTGGTCAGGTAGCAATCGCTTTTAGTCGTGGATTTGGTAACGACGGGATACGCGCATGGATCCAATCGGTTGGATCAGGAGGTTGTTAGAGTCGCAGTGGCATGATAACTAGTGGCAACTAGTTCCAGGGAAGAATTTTGTTCGAAAGTCGTGTGAGGCAACTATGTGGGAGTCCTTTAGCTCCGCGACCGGGCCGGGACCCGGTATTTCAGATGAGTGTTACTCGGTTGTGGCGAATCAGAGGATTTTTGGATGAGATGCAAGGATAGGTCCTTGGAGTATAAGTTATGGATTAGACCCGAGTTATGTATATAGTGGTATTCCAATCTAGTGTATTCCATCGTGAGGATGACCGGACCCTACGATTGAGTGGACCTGACGTGTTTGGTATTCCAACCCGAGGGTTGATTGGACCAAACATGTGTGTGATACGAGGGTATTCCATCCTAGGGATGACTGGACCCGTCGTAGACACGCCTGGTATTCCAGCTCGAGGCTGATTGGGCCAAGTATGAGTATTTGTGCTTATGAGTCGATTATTATATGTATGTGGTTCGGGAACTAAAGGAAACATTGTCTTGTTGATCTAAATAGGGGATCATAGTTAGCAGTGTGGGGCTTGTGATTCTGTTTTCTAGTGGGAACCTCAGGTTATCAGAAGTTAAGTAGCCGATTGAGAGTTAAGTGCAATACATTCGACAATGAACCAGTGTGGGTAGTCTGTCAGGAAACCAGACCATACCGAGACTCCAGATTCGGATTGGGTAAATGTGATCATATTATAAGGGATTGTTATTTTCCTGGTTTTAGAACCCTGCGAGGGTTGGATAGGGCTGCCTTGGAAAGGCTAGGGTTATGCTCGGGATTGTAGCCAAGTAGTTCAAGTTGTGGCATGTAAAGGATGATAAGAAACGATTTCGAGGACGAAATCAAAATTTAAGTGTGGGAGAGTTGTAACATCCCGTTTTAAGTAAGAACCCTGTGAAGTAATTATTATGATTATTTTATACTATTATAGTTCAAAAATCAATTAATAATTATTGGAATGTTGGTTTTGGGGGTTAAAGAATAATATTGGACTTAATTTGAAAGGATCTTGAATGATTGGGGTTAAAAGAGTAAATTCTGGACCTATGTTGAAAGGATTTGTTGAGTGAGGGGCTGTTGTGTAAATTACGGATTAGATTTGGAAAAGATTCTTGAAGCCTGGGTTAAAATGGTAACATTTGGATTAAATTTGAAAGAAAGGAGGTTGGAGGGGCTGATCTTGTAATTATGGGAAAATGCCTATGAAGGGCGGGGTATTTAAACGTTACCCACCCGGTAACCTAACCCTAGATTCCCCAAAACCTCCAGCCGCCAACTTCACCATCCTTATACCCCCCTCTCCCAGCCGCCGCCGACCACTTCGTCGCTGCCTTGAACCACCGATCGGCTGCCATCACAACTCCAGCGATGGGGTTGAATCTCGATAGTGTGGCTGCTGCTGTTGCTTTCCCGACCAGCGTTCCCTCGTCCCTCCGACTTGTCGTTCGTCCTGCTGTCGTTCTCGCTGACGGGTTGCGTCGCCACCTAGCTCCGCCATCGCTGGCCGCTGTCGGGACGGAAGAAACACGTTGGTTTCAGTCATTGCCCTCGGTGGAGAGTCGCATCTCCTTTACTCTCCGTTCTGTTGCTGTCGCTGCTTCTGTCGTGGCTGATGGGGAAGATCGGCGGTGGGACGAAGAAAGTGAGGAGGGGTTGGCCTTTGCCGCCGTAAGCTGATTCTGCTACCGGATTGTTTCGCTCTTGCCGGTTGTTCACTCTCACCGTCGCCGCCCACCACAGGAGGGTGTGGGTTTGTTGTTTGAGCAAGATGCAAGTATAGGGCTCTTCAGCTTTTGATGTTGGTCGTGTATGGTTGGAGTTCACAGAAAAGTTGCTGCCACCACCGTGAGGTGGTGGCTGCCACTATAAACAGCTACCTGCCGCCATTAGGTGGCTATGTTTGTGCGTGTGTGTTTATTAGTATGTGTGAGTGCGTGTTAATTAGATGGTGTTGTAAATTGTAACAAAATGGAATAATGGAAACCCTAATTAGTATGTGTGAGTGTGTGTTTATTAGTATGTGTGAGTGCGTGTTTATTAGTATGGACTGAGATTGGGTAGGAAACCCTAATTAGGGTTTGGAAAACCCTAATGGCATAAAACTCTAATTTACGGGAATTGGTTCGGGACATGCAAACTTGAAATATTAAATAATAATTATTGGCAAATTAACTTAAGGAAATAATGGACTTAAGGGATTAAGTCCTTAATGGGTTAAGTAGAAACACTTAACCATAATTGTCATTTTATGTTGGGCCTTGAGTTGGGCTTTTCCCATTGGGCCTTGGTGATGGGATTACTAATGGGTCATCCAAGAATAATCATATGGATTAGAATATGTTGTTGGGCTTTAGGGTAAGGCCCATATGAGAGTTGGGCCCAATTTGGAAAATTAGGCCATAGATGGGCCATAGTTTGGGCCTTAATGATTACATAATATTGGGCCTCAGAATAAGACCATGTATAGGCTTGGGCCCAATTTGGAAAATTGGGCCATATGTTGGGCTTTGGCCCATTACTTGACTTTTTGGGCCTTTGGTGTGTGAGTTAGACTTTGGACTTGGAACCAATTATTAATTGGGTATTTTTTGATGTTGACAGTTCGGGAAGCTGTCAACCAGCAACTGGAGTTTTACCTGCGAGACTTCAGCAGTGCCAGGTGAGTTCTCCTCACTATATCAGCAGGGTCTAAGGCACCAATGCCGGCCCTTATCAGATTTGTATTCGAGTTTATTGCATGATATGCTTATTGATTTCCATCCTGGTAATTAGGATGGTGATATGTTTAATGACCTGGTAGTTAGAGTGTTGTTATGCTGTTATGCTCTGCTAGAATGGTACCCTGGTAGTTAGGGTGTTGTCATGCTATTATGATCTGATAGATCGGTATCCTGGTTATGGTATGCTTGTATGCTGTTATGATCTGTTAGATCGGTATCCTGGTAGATAGGATGTTGTATGCTATTATGATATGTTAGATCGGTATCCTGGTTATGGTATGCTTGTATGCTGTTATGATATGTTAGATCGGTATCCTGGTAGATAGGATGTTGTATGCTATTATGATCTGTTAGATCGGTATCCTAGTTATACGATGTTGCTATGATTGGTGATCTGTTAGATTGGTATGACTGTTATATATATGCAAGTGTATGATTTTATGTACACATGCTTGTTTGATTTGGGGTTGGGTTGAGGCGGTCCTGCTTTGTGCTGGAGGCCAACATACCCAGGGCGGTCCAGACAAACTGAAGGCCCTGCAAAGGGATTCAGTCAGACCGAAGGCCCGGGGAGCGGTCCGGATAGGCTGTAGGCCCTGAGAGGCGGTCCAGACATACCGAAGGCACGGAGAGCAGTCCAGATAGACTGAAGGCCTGTGAGGCGGTCCAGTCAGGCTGACGACTCATTATGCATGTTGTTATGTATTGGTTATATGATATGGTTATGTTTGTATGACGTTGGTATTTTGGGGAAACTCACTAAGCTTCGGGCTTACAATTGTTGATTTTGTTTCAGGCACTTCTGATGATTGCGGGAAGGCGAAGGCGTGATCGTGCACCTCCTTATATTTTCAAGATTGATTCTGGGGATACTCAGATGTCTAAACTATTTTGAAAACAAACTATAATAACTTAATGGTTTTAAAATGTATTAAAAGTTTAAATTTGGCTTGAATTTTATGGGTGTTACAAGATAAGTCCCAACTTGCAGCTCCAACCCAAATGTCTACAACCATCATGTGATTAACTTTGTCAAAATCTCGAAATATAAAAAATATCCTCAAAGTCAACTTGATCAACCTTGGTCAACGTCAAAGTCAACAGTCAAGGTCAACAGTCCATGTTGACTCCAACTCGTTGAGTGCATCTAGCAACTCGTCGAGTCCCTTTAGTGTTCTAAAGATCTGGGAAAATCCCTAGCCAACTCGCCAAGTTGTCTCATCAACTCGTCGAGTTCATTCGGTATCCAAAAAGCGGGGTAACTCGATCTAACTCGTCGAGTTTCCAGGGCAACTCGCCGAGTTTCCAGGGCAACTCGCCGAGTTTCCCCCAATCTAAACCTGTTCAGCCTTTTTTAGTCGAATCTAAAGCTCCAACCTTCAGATCCAGTCCCCTAGGGTGTAGTTTCCACGTAAAGTTGTCAACTTTACGTGCATGCAAGGCTTCAAGAGGCTAAAATGCTAAAACCAAAATTGATAATAGATTTAAGGAATGAAGAAGGGCTGAAGCTTGGTAAAGTTGATACCTTTATGGCTATAGGGGCCTAGAAGAGTTCAGATCTGAAGTTACAACTTCAATCCATTCCCAACTTCTAAAAATAGGTCCAAAATGGGCTAAAAAGACCCTAATCCTTGGAATGGAGAGATCTAACCAAAGAAAGATCAAGGTAATAGCTTTTTACCTTCAAATGGTTGCTACAACTGGGTAGATGTTGGATCTATAGACTCCTTCGCGTTCCAAGCTCTTAAATCCTTGAGTTCTTCAAGAAAAGTACCAAACACACACTCTTTAACCTTACACACACTCATTATGGAGGGATATCTCGATTAGGGTTTGCTTCTGGACTGTAAAGACGACGAGGGAGGCCACAAATGCATTATAAGTTCTTTATATAGGGTGCGAAACCCGAAAAATTAGGGTTTTCCTTCCCAGCGCCTACTCGTCGAGTTGGGGGTCCCAACTCGTCGAGTAGGATCCTTAACCTGCGTCCATAAAAATCTCTACACGACGAGTTGGAGCTCCCCAACTCGTCGAGTTCCAGTCCAAAACCCTAAAACTTGAAAAGAAAATAAATATTACCTGGACCAAGCGTTACACAATGCATGTCTTGATCTCTTATTAGGTCAAAATGATGAAAAATGAACCCACGGTCACATAAATGTCTTCAAAACTTAGCCAAAATTCAGATCAAACATATATAACACTCAAGGGACCTCTAGGACCCATAAAGTTTCCAACTTTATGGAATCCTTCCACCCAAACTTCCACAACATGAAGAAAAAAGGACAAGGAGCTTAGATCTAGAAGCAGTGGGCTTATTCGTACTGGGTCAGCTGCCTGATTCTGAGTCAACACTCGTACACCTAGTGTACTCGGTGCAGTGGGCTTATTCGTTTGGGCCTTTTGGACTCGAGGTTATTTTGGGCTTTTAGGATTTGGGCCTTGTTGGGGCATTGGACTTCTGACCTTGGTCCATGGATAGATTATGGGCCTTCTTGGGATTATGTTCATGATGATCTTGGGCCCAACTAGGATGATGGGCCATAATGGGCCTTGGGATGCCATTAAGGAATTTGGGCCTCTTAAGTAATTAGGTTGGGCCTTGATTTTGGGCCAAGTAGGAAAAAGGGTAAAATGATCTTTTACCCTGGAGGTTGGACAAGTAATTTAGATTCTTGATTATGGGTCGATATTTAATTATTAATTGGATATTATTGAAGATATTAGCGTGGGGATTTTTCGGATCAGCAGATCAAGATTTTATCTGAGAGACTCAACAGCTTGAGGTGAGTTTCCTCACTGTGTTTAGCGGGTCGAAGGCACCAACGTCAGCCCATGGTTGTTATGTTTAGGATGCTATTAATGTGTATGACTCTTGCGTGTGTTTTGTGTTTATATGTTTACCGTACGGGGACCGATGTCGGGCAGGGCCCAATATCGAGCGGGGTCGGATGATTATATTGTATGCTAGTTATTTTTGTGGTTTTTATGCATGTGTTTATCAGTTGTATGTATACCATGCGGGGCCTGATGACTGACAGATCTGTTCCAAGCAGGGATCGACGTCGGGCGGGCCTGATGTCGTGCGGGGCCCGATAACGAGCGGGGCCCACTATATGTTTGATATGTATGGTATGTGGTATTTTGGGGAACTCACTAAGCTTTGTGCTTACAGTTTTCAGTTTATGTTTCAGGTACTTCTGATTCGATGGGGAAGAGCGTGGGATGATTGTAGTGCACACACCACATTGTTCCACATTTTACGTGACTCTGATGTTTTTGGATGTTATTTGTTATACTCTGATTTTCTATGGTTTTCATGATATTGTGTTGGTTGATGGTTTCATTAATTTAAAAATCAAAATTTTTAGTTTTTAATTTTTGGGACGTTACATCTCCCCTCTCCTCTCTCTTTAAGCATCCTTGTTGCTAGGGTTAGGTGTGAACCATCAGAGACATGAGATTTTTGGTGCTAACTTCCAAACAATTTAAAGAAGGATTTTTATTTGATTATCTACTAGTACAATCAACATGAATGTTTTCATAACCCTTTTAAGATTTTTGAAAATCCTAGGGTTCGTGATATTCAATTGGTTATTGCATTCAATAGTGAAAAATTAGATCCTTAGGGTGTATGTGAATTTATGGTTTATGTTCTCCCGCCAAAAATAGTTTTTTGTAACATATAAAACCCATGAGTTGTATCAGAGCGTATGTTTTCAATTGAATTGCTTAATAGTTGAATAGATGAAGTTTAGGGTTTATAGAAATTAAACCCCAGGGGATTAAAATTTCGACTTAGGCTATGGTTCTTGAAACCCTAGCCTCCACCCTAATTTTCGAAATTTCTAGGGTTTCCTTATTTGATAATTATTGCTTTTAAATTGTTTAAAATAGGATAATTAAATAAAATTGCATAACCCTTATCCCTTGATTTTCGAAAAACCTAGATGGGAA